TGGTCGTGTGCTGACACCGCCAGGCGCAAAGGGTGCATCACTCCTATCATAGCAGTGTCTGCCACCTTAAGCTAACCCCAAGGAGAGTTAACCTTCTCCACACCAACCCACACAAGACCAAGGCATCTCCCTCTATAAATAGCCCCCTTCACACACAAGGAGGGCATATTATGTATCGTTATTATGCCCATTTGTATTAAGTCACACTCTTACACACACCCAACCTTCCATTGTTATCTGCTTGCATCATACTTGGAATAGTGCTTTCTAACTTGGTCTTTACCTTCGCTAGAGGTATCATCCATATAGTGACATCATCCCCAAAAGGAACATAGTGGGCTTATAAATCCAACGGTACACCGGGAAAGTGATTTATGAAATGTGCTACCAAACATGGTCTTCTTGAAAACCTATTCTAACTTTTCCTAGTATCTCAAAATAATCCCTTGCTAAACACTCCCCAATCTTATACCCATGTTTTATGTTTGGTTTGATTCCCGATTTCCAATATAAGTCTTAATCTTTTTGTAGAACTTGACTTTCCTTTCCTTTATTTTATGGGCAATGCTTTTCTCATGTTGCAAAAGATAACATTATCTTATGTAGAAACATAATTAGGTGGGTCCCACAAGTACAAAAAAGAAAAAAGAAAAAAGAAAAAAGAAAAAGAAATGTTGGCTCGAATTTCGATGGATGTGTAACATGAGATAAGGCTTCTTATGAAACATGAGAGAAACATTTCCGTTATTTTATTGTAGTTTTAATTTTTTTTAAACTATCTTTTAGTTTTTTTTTCTTTAAAAATGAAAAAAGAGCAAAACTTTAGCCACTAGCCATTACGTGAGTAAGCACAAAATTGATGATTGGGCTTACATATATATATATATATATATATATATGAGGTATGATCCTTTGATACCAGTGTTTAAATTTGACATCTCATCTGAGAGCCATTAGATCAAAAAAGATCAATGGTGTCACATGCTTACAAATCAGAGGCGTTAATCTTTTTTGATCTAAGGGCTCTCAGATGAGGTGTCAAAGGATCCTATATATATATATATCTGGGTTTATATTTCTGCAGCTGTTGTACGTGCAACAATCAAATACTTGCCATATATATACTTGAAAGCATTAAATGCCGGGAATCATAACCATACAAAGAATGAAAACATTAAATGTGGGAAATCATAACCATACATCTGTCATTGTTGTACGTAAAGCGGCTGCAGAAATGATTTTACCATATATATATAAAAGATATATTTATCTCCGTCCACCTTAAAACTACGTCATTTTGTTTATTTATTTCTTTATATTAATTGATTCATCTTTGAATGGTTATGTTTTCTTTTTTCTCTATCTTCCTTTATTACCATTGATTTATCTTTGTATGGTTATGATTTAGTAGACAGAGATATAATTATCTCAAGCAACTTGAGAAACGATAAGTTATATATATATATGAGAAGGGGTGAAAGTGGGCTGGGCTGGGCCAAGCTTTGCCCCAAAAAGCTCAAGCCTACATCAATAAATTTTAATTTGGCCTGGCCGAAGCCTAGTACGAGTCTAACTGTTAGTCTGACTTGGCCCGTTTATAAAAAAACAAATGGTCTGGCCTAGCCCGTTAGCCTCTTAATTTTTAACTTCCAAGCAGAACAATGAATCAACTTTACAAAATACTCAAATTCTGTTGCTAAACCAAAAATCATAATTTCAACGTCCAAACAGAATCATGAATCACAACAAAACTCATACAATCTGCAAAAACTTTTTAATATATTCATATACACAATCTAACTTGCTGAGATGATAAGAAATAAAGTTAGATTTCTATTAAAATATAATCGAATATAATTAAGTTATAAATAATTGCAATTGATTAAATTTATATCTTTTATTTTTTCTTCAAGGCATACTTATTCTATTTTATTTTACTTAAAATAAATACTACAATATAGGCCGACCTGTAGGCTTCTAGGTCAGGTCTTGTGAAAGTGGGTATACGGCCTTTTTATTAAATAAGCTTTTTCAAGGCCTAAGCCCGGCCTATTTTACGAAATTTACTAGGTCAAGTCTGGTCTGACATAGGTCGAGCCGTAGGCCCCTGTAGGCTGGCTCGGCCCAGTTTCACCCTTATTAATATATATATATATATATATATATATAGGGGCAAGATATTCTTACACCAGTGTAAGAGTTAGAAGTCTTACACTCAATCTTGAGTATTGATCCACTTGTATCCAATGGCTCACATGACTAAAAAATTAAAACCCTTAGATATAAGTGGGATCAATGGTCAAGATTGAGAGTGTAACTTACACTGGTGTAAAATAATCCTGACCCATATATATATATATATATATATATATATATATATATATATATATATATATTAAATGTATACTATATTATATATATTAAAAAGGGATAATTATACTTACTATTATTTTAGTCTTATTACCCTTATTACTTTATTGGTTACTTTTGAATCAATTTGAAATCAACAGTTAAAAAATGAGAAAAATTAATTGTCGTTGATTCAAATTAATTCAACGGTAACTAATCAGGTAGTAAGGCTAAAATAGTAGTAAATATAATCTTTTCTATATTAAAAATATTATTTAATATTAAATTATGTTCTAATGTATCGAAATCTAATATTTTTTAAAATTAATGTGTCAGTATGTCGTATCATGTCATATCCTGTGTCAATATTGGTTGGTGTAATATGGCGTGCAAGTGAAGAATATATAATCAAGACAAGTCTAGTACTTTTAACATTGCTCAAACACAATCATCAACAACAAAAAAAAAAAATACTTTATTCATTCAATTCAGCTCAGCATCAAATTGTTGCTGAAAAAATATTTTAATTGGTCCAACCATTGACCAATTATGCAATAGTATATATTAGAGTACTTTAGGAAATGAATAATTTAATCGAAATGACTGCTTTGCAATGGAATGACCTGTTATTGTGCATTCACAATAGGCAATTACTAGGTAACGAAAGTGATATGCAATGTCCATTCCATGAAACTTGCATGATAATATGGTATGACGGGATTTCTTCTCTGAACTTACCTAGCCAGTCGATCAGCAAACGCCTTAAATAGGAGCATATCTTTGGTGTTAATGTAATATGTACTTTTTTATTAAAAGTAAAAAAATGTGATGGTTTTAGAGAAAATAACCATACAAAAAAGAGTAAAATAATAAAAGATATATGTTATTTTTTAAATTGAATAAATGATGCACCGAGTCTTCAACTACTATAATACTAAAGATATTTTCCTTAAACAGAGAATAGATAAAATAAAGTCACTCTTTAACCTGATCTATAATGGTTTGCAGCCTTTCATTCCATTGGTGTTGAACAATTATTATGGACAATTGTTAGATAGTTGAATCATGAATTAAATAAATTTTTCATCGAATTAATAATTAGTGTAGTGTCTCTTATAACCTTGCATAACGGTATTAGACAGATAAAAATAATTAAATAATATAAAATTAAATTTTTTATGGCTGTTGCCGTAAAAAGCAAATAATTTAAAATATATAAAACAAATGAAGGGAAAATTCCATACCTAAATTATGTATCATTTTCTATGACTCCGGATTTTTACAAGACAAAACACATTTATAAATTATGTAGGAGTACAGAACATAACCAAACCGACACTTTATAAAATGTACAGGCGCGAGGAAGATATTTCCACAGGGGAAGAAAATTATAAAGCAGAGAGAAATAACATTAAAAAAACGAAAGGCAATAAGGTAGTGTTTGGTTGAAGGTTTATTTTGGGATTGAGAGGAAAGTGTAAGTGGATATTGGAAAATACCACGTTTGGTTCAGGTTTTTTCAGAAAATACTAGACAAATAGAATAGATAAGAAAATTACTTTTGTGTTAATTTTTAGATGAAATTTACTGTTACAGAATACCACTTGAGATGTGGTATTTTGAGATAACTGGGAAAGTGAAAAAACAGGTGCAAAGTTTCTTCCGAACATAGATTTTGCATATTTAAATAAATTTCCCTGGTAATATTTCGGTCAATCAAACAATATTTTTTACATTTTCCTATCAAACTCACTTTCCAATCATTTTCTTATCAATTACATTTCCCTAGTAAAAACAAATTTCTTCTGAACCAAACACTACCTTAATACTTTTAGAATATGACATTTATTCAGGAATATTCTTTAGAATCAAAAACCGAAAAAGTCGAAAAATTCGTTTCCTTTGTCCGGTCGCGACATTGGAGGAAATATGCGGTGCGGTGACTTTGAATATAAGGATTTTTTTTTTTGTCTTTAAATAATTAAATATATTTAATTGTTTAAATGTTACAGTGAGAGGAGGTTAATTTTTTCAATTGAAAGTTGAAGGTAATTTTTTGAAAAACCATACAAGCTGAGGGTGATTTTGTGTAATTTGCGCTAACAACAGAGAATATTAAGTCAAAATATATAATAACAACCAAATTAAAATTAAATTAAATTTTTTATATTATAAAAAATAAATTTTATTTTTTACAGATATATAAAAATATGTGGGTGGTTTATATATTTTTCCTTTTTTCATATGACTTTACAGATTTTTATATATGATCACTAATAAAAAACATTAATTGCTTAAAAATATGATAAATGTAATGGATTTGGGGAAAAATAAAGTTAGTTTAATTTAAAAAAAGAGAAAAATGTTTATCCTTTTAAATGACACAACTTATATCATTTCACTCTCACAAAGAGGTGGGACCCACATCTTTATATTTTTTTGTTCACTTTCTCCTCCTTTATCTAGCTGTTCTCTCACTTAAAATGACACAACTTTATATAGTTTAAAATGATACACATTTTTTCGTTGAAAAAAACATATATACAGATTAGGTGTAGAAATTATTGAAGTCAATGACTCCAACTCCAAGGCAATAAAAGAAGATCGTGTTGATTCTTAGCACTCGGCAACAGTGATTGGGGCATGTCTTCCTCGCTCTACCAAAATGAATGATGTATTTCTTAGCTTCAGAGGGGAGGATACTCGCACCAACTTCATTAGTCATCTTTACAAGGCTCTGTATAAGAAACCAGTCAACGCATTCATTGATGATAATCTTAGAAGGGGAGAAGATGTTTGGCCTGCACTTTCCAAAGCAATCGAGGAGTCGCACATATCGGTGGTTGTTTTTTCAGAAAATTATGCATCCTCGAAGTGGTGCTTGGAAGAACTCGTCAAGATACTTGAGTGCAGAAAAGATCATGGTCAGGTTGTTATGCCTGTTTTCTACGAAACAGATCCGTCAGACATAAGGAAGCAGGCTGGCACTTACGAGACAGCGTTCGCGAAACATGAGCGAGATCTTAGGGTCGAAGACAGCGAATCGAACAAACAAAAAGTACTTAAGTGGAGAGTTGCTCTGTCTGAAGCAGCCAATATATCTGGTTGGGACTCTCGAAACCATAAGTAAGTCTTTCCTCTCTCTCTCTCTCTCTTAGCAGATATAGTTGTTCACCAGATTCATTCTGTTTTAATTCATGATTATTATTATTTATTCATTTAAGTTTTTCATTGAATTTCTTTTAGAATCTTTATCACTGTCTAGATAGATAGAAATTATTGAAAAGGCCAATATTGTCCCCTGAAGTTTTGAGCCAATATTGTAGTAGTACATATAAAAGTGGATTGAGAAAAAAACCACGAGTGAAAAAGTGTAATGGAGAAGTAGAGAATATAGGTAAGACATGTTCTGCAAACACCAATAAACCAGTAGATGCAATAAAAATTAATACGATGACTTCTTCGCCAGAGTCAGAAAGCTCACAGAGGCGAGACAGACGAGAGATGAGCGGGAATTGAAAGCACTCGCACTAAATTGAGTCATTACTTTGTTTATTTATTTATTCGTTTATTTATTTTTTCCTAGGGATCCTTTTCAGTTCATCCATAACATTGTCGAAGACGTTTGGCAAAAGCTGTCCCTGATGTATCCTAATGAACTGAAAGGCCTTGTTGAAATTGATGAAAACAGTAAATCCATCGAATCATTACTGCATAATGTTCCAAGAATTGGAATTTGGGGTATGGGCGGTATAGGTAAGACAACCATAGCTAGAGATATGTTTGCCAAACACTTTCCACAATATGACAGTGCATGCTTCCTGGCAAATGTAAGAGAAGAAACAAAAAAGCCCGGTGGACTAGAATATACACGGAATAAGCTTCTATCTGAGCTACTAAAGGAACCAATTACAACATCTCATGTGACTGGATCAACATTCATTAAGAGGAGGCTCAGTAGCAAAAAAGTTTTCATTGTACTTGATGATGTGGATAGTTCTGATCAATTAGAATATTTGTGTAGAGATCTAGATGACCTTGGACCAGATAGTAGACTCATTATAACAACAAGAAATAGGCATCTGCTTTGTGGAAGTGTTAATGAGATATATGAGGTCACGATATGGAAGTTTCCAGAATCTATGAAGCTTTTCTGCTTAAAAGCTTTCGGGCAAAACCATCCTCTAAAGGGTTATGAGCATCTTTCGGTAAGGGCAGTTGAATATGCTCGGGGCCTTCCATTAGCTCTTGAAGTTTTGGGTTCATATCTTCGTTCGAAAAGTATTAGATCTTGGGAAAGTACTTTGAGAGAATTCAAGAAGTATCCTGATGAGAAAATTCAAAACTTGTTGAAAGTGAGCTATGATGGATTAGATGGTCTAGAGAAGATGATATTTCAAGACATTGCATTTTTTTTCATAGGAGAAAAGAAAGATCATGTCATAAGGATACTAGATGCATGTGGTTTCGAAGCAAGTAGTAGAATAGAAGTACTTGAAGACAAAGCTTTGATAACTATTTCAAATAGCGATAGAATACAAATGCATGACTTGCTACAAAAAATGGCTTTGGAAATATTACGTGAAGATCGTAGCCGAAACCCTGCAAGACGTAGCCAATTGTGGGATGCTCGTGAAGTAATAGAACAAAACAAGGTAAGGAAAAGAAAAATAGACCTTTTCTAAAACATGTTTTTGCATAGAAGTTGTAGCTAATATGATACCGTTTACTTTTGTGTTTTTCAGAGTACTGATATAATTCAAGGCATAATATTAGATTTGTCTGAGTTTTTGTTGAGTCGCTCAGTTTGTGAGAGTTTATATGAAGATCATCATTCTGTTTTATCCGCCAATACACTTAATACTTTGAAACTGTATGTTGTGTGGACTGGATACCCTTGTAAATCTCTTCCACCACCACCTTTTTATGCGCTCGTTGAGATTCGCATGCCGCACAGCAACGTTAAACAACTGTGGCAGGGGATACAGGTAAAGATATAAATCCAAGTATGCTTACTTTTTTTTTTTTTGGGTGGGGTGGTTCCATTTTGATGTCTCCTTTTGAATTGTTATAGGAATTTGGTAATTTGAAGGGAATCGACCTAAGTGAATGCAAACTGCTTGTAAAGCTTCCTGATTTGTCTAAGGAATCAAGACTTAAATGGATGAATCTCTCTGGTTGTGAGAGTTTGTGTGATCTTCATGATACTGTTTTATCTGCCAATACACTTAGTACTTTAATACTGGATAGGTGTATAAATCTTGAGAGTGTTAATGGCAAGAAGAATTTAAAATCTCTGGTGAAAATCAGTGTCAATGACTGCTTAAGTCTCAAGGAATTTGCAGTGTCTTCGAATTTAATTGAAAACTTGGATTTAAGCAATACAGGAATCCAAAGATTGGACACATCAATTGGTCTTCTACAGAATCTTAAGTGGCTTAATGTGGAGGGTTTAAGACTCACGCATCTTCCAAAGGAGTTATCTTGCCTGAAATCTCTTAAGGTGCTGAAGCTTTCTTACAAGGGACCATCAATTGACAAAAAGCAGCTAAATTCCCTGTTTGATGGCTTACGATCTCTACAAATACTATATCTGAAGGACTGTAGTAACTTGTTTGAACTCCCTGACAACATCCGCGTCTTATCACAATTACAGGAATTAAGGCTTGATGGAAGCAATGTGATAAGGTTGCCTGCAAGCATCATGCATCTCTCAGAGCTAGAAATTCTGTCATTAGAGAATTGCAGGAAGCTTCGGTCTCTGCCAGAGCTTCCACCCTCCATCAAACAGTTATATGCCATTAATTGCACGTCATTGGTGTCTGTGTCAAATTTAAAGACTTTGGCAACAAAGATGATAGGAAAGGCCAAAAACATTTCATTCAAAAACAGCTTGAAATTGGATGTACATTCACTAAAACGTATTGTGGAAAGCCTCCATTTAACAATGATGAGTGCAGCATTTCACAATGTGTTAGTAAGAAGACTCCCTGTGGCCGAACACTACTACAATTATACCAGTGTAGAGGTTTGTTTACCAGGAAGCACAGTCCCAAGGCGGTTCAAATATCGAACAAAAGAGTCCTCCATTACCATTGAACTTCCTAGCCGTTCCAACTTGCAGGGCTTTATTTACTCAATGGTTCTTTCTCCAGCCGGTGGAATGAAGGATGGCACTAAATTAAAATGTCAATGCCAATTGCCAGACACTGATTTCTCCATTGTGACATGGCTAAATACTGATATCACGGAATTGAACTCCGATTATGTTTATGTATGGTATGATCCATTCCATTGTGACAGCATTCTCAAATTTTATGAACCAAAGGTTCGTTTTGACTTCTGTGTTGCAAATAATAAGGGAGAGGTTGATGGTTCGATCTGTATCAAAGAGTGTGGAGTATGCCTCATAAGTGTTTCAGACTCACAGTGTGTTTTACCCAAATTGGACTTGGATACAGATAAGAGAAAGGCCTTGGAGAAGGGATTAGAGTTGGAAACAGCGCTTATCTTAAGCTTGACATCAATTGAAAGATCTGATGAGAAGGAAATCAAAAGACCGAGTGAACAGTCTTCTAGTGATGATACAATTGGTATGCAACTTTTATTCTCTTTCCCTGATCTCATATATATTAATGCCTACTTGCTTTTTCCTTTTTCCTTTATTAAATCATTTCATTTTTTTGAGTTGTCTTACAAAACTACTGTAAAGAACACGCCCCCTCACACGAGAGCCCATCGGGCTTGAAAAGTGGACAATGCAACAGGCCCAGCCTACCTGTGTTAAGAAACGCCATAAGAGAAAGTGGGGGGCGGCGAGGCTCTGATACCATGTAAAGAACCTTGGGATACACCACCCCAAAAGCTAGCTCAAAGGGTGGGAGTGCCCAAGGCCTTATAAACTCCACATTAGTTGCACATACAACCAATGTGGGACTATATATCTCAACAGGAACCTTGAGATACACCACCCCAAAAGCTAGCTCCAAGGGTGAGAGTGCCCAAGACCTTATAAACTCCACATTAGTTGCACATACAACCAATGTGGGACTATATATCTCAACAACTACAAAAAAAAGAAAACAAAGATTTACCATAAAGGAACAAAGAACCACATTATTTTACACGGAATCACCAGTTCTTATTATTTCATAGGGAAAAAAGTATCTAATGTTACTTTAGATAACTTTATCTAATGTTCATAAAAACGACGTCGTTTTGGGGTTAAAAAATTTAAAAATTAGAATGATAAACACTATTATAACCCTGAAATAAATTAAAATTACAAAAACACCATGATTTCCGCCCCAAAACGACGTCGTTTCGGTGAACATTGGATAAAGTTATCTAAAGTAACTTTAGAAAACACAAACCCTATTTCATAATGAGTATTTCTTCTATAACAGTTTATTATTTTTGGTAATGTTCTCAAAATTCTTTAGTGGAAGAAAAATATAATTGCTAGATTTAAGGGACACAAAATTTGGATCATCAACTTATTATTCCTTTTATGTAAGGTACTTATACATCCTGTAAAACAAGTATAGATCTTTTCTTGTAATTTTTGTTCTTTCAATTTTTTTCACTTCGTGTTTGAGCAATGCCATTTCTGTAAACCATTAGTCCAATGGGGGGAATACTGGATTCGGCTGAAGAAGGTAATGGGAGGAAAGACCATTATTCTAATATGGAATTGAAGGTCTTTTCACCCTAAACATGTGAGTCTTTCTTTTGGGTTTACTTTTTTTTTTTTTTTGGTTGAATTTATTCTTTTCTCTTATAACTTTTTTTTTCTTTGTTTAGTCATAGAACCAAAGTCAGTCACGGTTGAACTCAAATCAGCTGAAGAATACAATGGGAGTAAATACCATTTTTCTGATGTAAAAGAGAGCGTCGGATCTACTCACAAGAAAACCATGACCGGTGGAGGAAGTAATAGACCAAGTCCGACAAGGAAAAGGAAATGGCTGGTTTTTGGAGAATCGAATTCAGAGTTCCGTCAAAGCCAAAAGGTAACACAACATAAATAACCAGAGTTAAAGCTAACTAAAACTAATTAAATATAGTTAATGTATAATATGATGAATGACTGATTGTATTGGCCATCTTGGACAAAGAGAGGAAATAACAAAGAGAAAGGTAATGATTTTGCAAACACATCAACAAGTTGATTTTGGAAACAAATAATATTAAACAAGACATAACATAGAATACAAAAATATAGAAGATATCATGAATCGATCTTTAGCAAATAAATGAATACAGTATAAAAACCTTTTAATGCACCGACTTTTATTGTCTTGATTAATGCTCTTCCTTAGATTTATTTTTAGTTTCTTTTATTTTTTAAAAGGAAGAGTTTAGCTAAATATAATTTTGTAAAGCTCTTATAATAAAAAATTTTATATACTAAACAAAAAAAGAAAAAAGCTAAAAGCTCTCTTAAGGAGTTTTTTTTTTTATTAAGATGTATGTAAATTTTGTGGAGTTCTCATTTTATTTTTTAATTTTATCATTATTTTATTTATCATTTGCCGTAATGATTATCATAATTATAAATCATTTCATTATAATTTTAATTTATAATATAACAATAATATAAATTTCATATTTTTTATAATATAAACAATTAAGAAATATGAAAGTTTCATATTTATAAGACAATAAAAGGTCTAAATGAGATATTTTCATAATCATAATGGTATATGTGATATTTTGAAACTAAGGCGGGTTAAATAATATAATTTTATAATCGCAATGAATGTAAATGGCAAGTTTAAAATCATGGGATCAAATACAAGGGATGAATTAATTATGTCGTTTTTTATCACCGAAAAAAAACAATTATGTCGTTTTTAGTCTTGCAACTTGAGCTAATTCGTTACGGCTGCCTACATTGATCTGCGTCAAATAAACTCGCCAAAATATAGTTTTTGTTTAGTTTTATACTTTTATTGACCCGATGTGTATATGTTTCTGACGTGGCAGAAAATAAGTTCGGGTGTTCTTTTTGTGAAACAGGCTCTCGGATATGCTGACAAAGAAACCAAAACTTCTCCAGGAAGAGGTTGTGAGAAGAATACCAAAGAGTCTACAAAAGCTGTAAGTCAAGGGTTCTTTTATTTTGACAAACTTCGTTTTCCATTTTTATTGAAATATCTCAAATGCACATAGTCTTCATCTCCTATATGCTTTGATTCTACGCACACAGTTCTACACGGGGCCCATTTTTACATAGTCCACAGTGCTAACCACTACACCAGGAACCAATTACGGACTTCAAATTTTACCAAATCAAAATACTACTGTTCATATTCATTTTGCTGCTGTGCACGCCACTCCATAATAATATGCATTATTTCCACTCTTCTTTCTCCATAAATTCAAACCCAAGCTTTTTTTTTCTACACATAGCACGTACCTCAACATGTCTTTCAGTTTAACTGACCTTTCCAATAACGACAATAACATGATGGCCTTTGATGGTAAATGGGGAACTTCTCAACGTAAAACTAATAGTAATTTTGGACTTGAAGTTCCACCTTCTTCAACTTAGCCTTCTTATTCTGATTTTCCTCCTGGTTTTAGCCCAACTGAGTTATTCAATTCACCTTTGTTTCTTTCTTCTCCAAATGTAAGTCGCATACTCAGTTACAATTGTTTATATTTTTATGTTTTGGTCTTTTGAAACACTCCTATGTCATGTTTTGGATCATTACTAATTGTGGGGTTTTCTTGTTTTCTGTGTTGGTTTAGGTTCCTGCATCTTACACAACTGATCCTTCTTTTGGCCAGTACTTCAACCGAAGAAACAGTTCAACTGAGGACCAACAATGTAACATGGAGGAAGAGAAAAATTACTCTGACCTCTCTTTCAAAATCCAAACAAAGTGCATGCTTCTCTATCAATCTTCCACAAGCATGTTTCAAGAAGTAAGTTGTATCACCTCGTTACCGGATCAGTGTGTTATCATTGCGTACGATATTAAGCACAGTTACAATTACATTGGTTCAATTAAAAACACGATCAAATTTTTCATTTTAAACATTGTCTGTTTCCTTTTAAATCAATACCGTATTTAAAATAACCAAAATCGTAATTGTAACCATGTAACATTGCAGAATAACGAAAACAAGCTTAAACGTATCATACTAGTCCTAAGGGATACCACTATGAGGTTCCCAAAGGTCTCCACTCTTACTTTTATTTTTCTGGAAATTGGGCTGCTTGTTAACCTGCTCGCTCTAGCGAGCATTTCACATTTGCTCGTTGACCTGCTCGCTCGAGCGAGCATGTCAGCGAGCATAATTCAATTACAACCCGAGAGGACAGGTCTCTTCCCCTACCTTTCGCTCCCTTCCTCGCTAGAGCGAGACCAACAGCTCGCTCGCTCAAGCGAGCACCTAAGCGACAAGTCCCCTGTTCTAAGTTCGCTTCTGTCTCAATTGTAATTAGCTCGCTGGCCTCACAACTCCAGCGAGCTCGCCAACGAACAGAGCTCAGATTTCAGCATGACCTACCTGTTTCAAGGCTCATTCCTCACACATTTGGCACACCACTTGGCAGAAAGTGTGCAGACTTTGTCAACCTGTCCACAATCACCCATCTAGAATCATAACTAGCATGTATCCGTGGCAATCCCACTACGAAATCCATGGAGATATTCTCCCGTTTTCATTCTGGAATATCTAGAGGTTGCAGTAAACCAAAAAGCTTTTGATGTTCAATCTTGACCTTCTGACAAATGAGACATTTGGAAACAAACTCAGCAATATTTTTCTTCATACCAGGCCACCAGAAATTCTTCTTCAGGTCTTGATACATCTTTGTAACTCCCTAAGGATAGTGAACTGACCCTTGTCGGCTTCAGTCATCACTTCCACAACCAATTGGTCCCTAGGCACAACAACCCTGCCTTGATACATCGATACACCATGTTCATTCTAGGATATACCACTTTGACCCTTCAGATACTCAAGGCTTTCATTTTGCACTTGAGCTTCCTTGATTCTAGTCAGTAACTCATTTTCAATCCTCGTGGTTTCTGCTGCAGAAATTCTACCTGCAAAGACTTCAGAGTGTTTTATATCACTGAATTTCTCCATCAACTCGAAGTCTCTCATCATCATACTTGATAAGTTAGCAAATTTCCTGCTGAACGGTCTGCCACTACATTAGCCTTACCTTAATGGTATTTCAATTCAAAGTCATAATCTTTCAAGAATTCCACCCAGCGCCTCTATCTCATGTTCAACTCTTTCTTATCAAACAAGTATTTCAGGCTTTTATGATAACTGAACACCACAAACTTCATTCCATACAAGAAATGTCTCCAGATTTTCAGAGCAAATACAATAGCAGCAAGCTCCTAATTTATTAGCATATGCAGTGTTGTTAAAACGTAGTGTCGAAACGGTTGAAACGTACGATTCTACGTTTTTTTGACTAAAAAACGTGTTGAAACGGATGCTGAAATGTAAAATGAGTTGAAACGGTTGAAACGGCGAGTCAACTCGGTAAACTCGGTTGACTCGGCGAGTTTACCGAGTTGACTTAGTGTTCAAAAAAAAAAAACTAGATCTGAGAAGGTGACAGTGTGGGGCTTCTAACCTTCACCGAAATGGGAAAGAATAGAATTGGGTCCAAAAGCATTGGTTCTTAACCATCCTTCACCGTGCGAAGCAACCAGAACTGCTCCTTTCAGCTTCCGATTTATGAGTGCCATCGCGAACCCTGCCTCGGTTTTCGTCGCGAACCGCCAAGTCTTGCCGGAGCTTTTGCAATTCACCTCCACGTACTGCGGAGGAGAAGGAGCTTGCGGCGATAGCGATGCTGATGATTCTTCAGCCATCGAAACTCAACGAAGGCATTGGAATTGGTTTTTTATGGAATTTGTGTGGAGAGAGAGAAAAGATACTGATCCCATTTTCAAGTTCACCGACAATTTTGTATATATATTCTTTTCTCATTTTCAAGTTCACTGTGAGTTCTATCAATATATAGATAATTCAAAAAATAATTTAAAATTATAAACATATGCATATTATGCTATTATATTTTAATATTTATTATGATTACTGAATATATATGTTTTATTTTAATATATTTGAATATTACTGAATATATATTTTAATATTATATGATTACTGAATATGTAGATAATAACTTATGTATTGGTGTGTTTTAATTTTATATATATATATATATATATATATATATATATATATATATATATATTACTTAGTAAACTCTTACGTTTCGTTTACGTTTCACGATTTTACATTTTTGCTCACCCCTACCGTTTATATATCACAAGGTTCTTTACAAGTGCTTTACTTATTTTTCTAATGAATCAAGTACAAGTTTTTTTTTATTAGTTTTAAAAATTCAAAACTTGACTATGCTTATTCTAAGTTGACAGAATCAAACTTACATATATATATTTCCCGAAATTCTTAGCTAATTTCGACAATAAGATATATCTCTTATTTTGTGCCATTCAATGTTAGCCTTATAAATTTTGTAGGTCCATTGTTGTCTGCTTAAACAAAACATTTTTAAAGGTTACATGGCTAACATTAAATGGCATTGAACTTGCTTCGTACCGAAGAATTTATCTGTATGTTTAACAAAATGTAAACTTCATTGTAATGGTTAACAAACAACATGGTCACAATAAACAAGGTGTGAGTTATTGATGGTTTGGAATATGCTAATCTTGGCATTTTCAGATGTTTTTTTAATACTTGTTCTACTTGAACAGAAGGAGCTAGTAAAGAAACGGGACACATTGATATTCAATGAAATTGCAAAGCAAATCGATTTTTCATCTGAGAGGAAAGCAACCAAATCTGAATATCCATCCACTCAGCAATTATTCTCAGAAATGGCCACAACCAAACCTGAAATACAAAGTAATTATTCCACGAACTATGGTTCTGATTATTGCAGGAAGGAAGGGAATCAAAATGATGGCTACTCCTATTCCACAAGAATAGGAACTGTTAAGGAACCTAGAGTTGTGATTCAAACTACAAGCGAAATCGATATTCTTGATGATGGCTATAGTTGGAGAAAATATGGAACGAAAGTAGTTAAAGGAAACCCAAAGCCAAGGTATTTAACTGATGGAAACAAAGACCCTTTAGTTATATGGTTCGTAGTGTTACAATTCCTGTTATTACCGTTAGAGATATATGCACACACTTGATGTATCTATGACATGAGATTAGAATTCTCCTATAACATAAAATTTATTTTTTTCCAAAAACTATTAGTATGACTTCCACTAAACGGTTTAAGTTTTTAGCTTGACTCAATTTTTAAAAAAAATAAGTTAAAATTAACATATGGTAAACTAAAAAATGGACTTGTGCAATATAAACATTTCAAACAGAAAGAGCTCTTGCATAACGGGATGTGTTAGAGATATCATATATAAAATCATTAATATAGACCTTTTAGGTTGAATTGATTTTTTACAATTACGAACCGCATAAGTTGATAACTTTTCAAAATATCCTTTATGCAGGAGCTACTACAAATGTCTAACCCGAGGTTGTCCAGTGAGAAAACATGTTGAGCGAGCTACACATGATATGAACGCTGTAATCACAACCTATGAAGGGAAACACAACCATGATATACCTATAGGATGAGGAAGTGCAAGTCATAGTATGAACAAAACTTCTATGAACAGCAACACCAGCAATGTACCTACCCCGCCCCTATAAGGCCTTCAATGGAGACTAATTGCTCTAGCTCAGCAAGTTTCACAAATTCACTTCATGATACAAAGATGCCAACATCTGGAAGTCAAGAACCTTTTCCACTAGACTTGCTGCTTAGCCCTGGAAGCTTTGGATATTCAGCTTTGGATAGATCAATGAGTTCATATACCAATCCTGAACAATACTCAGATGCTGCAAACTTGGCTAAGGGTGACTCATTCCTTCACTCTTTTCTGTCAAAAGAACTTTTAATTTTGGAATTAGAACGTTCCACATGTTATCATAGATATGTTTTTGTAGGAATTTAGTTATTAATCCCAGAATAGAATAAATAATATTATTAAAAGAAAAAATAATCCAGTTCCAATGTTTGCTTCTTTCAGTAACTCTAGAATCATGCATCCACCACTGTATTGTTTTCTGTCAAATTCGTCACTACAAAAAAAGTTTCAACACTACGAACATAGTTTCAAGTAGAAAAAAGCTATTTGTATTCTTGTATGAAATAAGTAGTCTCATATCTCATATCTCACTGTAACATATGCTCACACTTAAAAGGATGGGGTATTCTTATACTCACTGCCTCACACAAATTGTAATACTAGCATTCATGGATATAGCCGGCGAACACTTTCCCTTTGAGCATGTGGTATTGCTGAAAAGCAACCTTATTTGCTGACATTGGCTTTTATACAAAAGACTAGTGTACCCTCTCTTAGTATCCTGTTCACCATCTTCCTGTTTGTGGTTTGAAACCGAAAAGAGCTAACTGTGGACGAAGGTTCGATACTGCCGGTGGTCTGAAACCGAAAAGAGCTCCATATGATGTATCAACATACCACAGATGCACCTATTATATTAGTATCCTTATTAGAGCAGTGAGCAATTACAGATTTGGTACCTGAAAGACAACAATTAGAGTTAGTATTGACGGTTGTCATAGTTGCTTTACAGAAGATATCTCTGTTATTCCATGAAATATCTTTGTGAATTGGCAAATTTATGCATAACAGAAATTTTGTTATAATCACTTAAATAACACCTTTACCTTCAGGTTTTGATGCGTCATCCATACTCATGAGATCTTTTTCCAAATATTTCACTAAAGCCAGATGATTAGCCTTCTCTTTAGCAATTCCCTTTTGTGAACTGATCCAGCCCACCCCAATAGCATGATTAAGGAGTTCATTGTATTTATAATCTTGTTTTCTCTCGGGGAAATAAGAACACGTGAAAGTCTCATTCGAGGTTTTCACAAAGTGACATCCCTTTCTTAGTTCTTCGTAAGATGTATCTATATACAACCGGCTTAATATCTCAGGGTTATTTTTGTAATACCACCTTCTTTTTCCATCTATATTTTACCTCCAACCAAACATGGATTTCATAAAAGTTACTTAATTTACCCAGTAAAGTTTTTCCTCACCAAACAACTTTTTTTTACATTTTCCTACCTATCTCACTTTATCTCACTTTCTAATCATTTCCCATCAATTACATTTCCCTAGTATTCAAAAAAATTCTCTTTAACCAAACGCCCTCAAAATGTATTTTGTACAGCAATGAAAGGAAGTATGAAACATGGTAGGAGAAACTTTTGTGGAAGTTCAGCAAAAAAAAAATTAATAAATAATTACGAATATATAGAATTTCAAAACTATTTACGAATCTATTGCAGTTATTCATGCCTATTTTGGGCGTGACCACTCATGCCTAAAGGAGGCATGACCACGAAGATAGTCACGCCTAATCCAGGCGTGACTAACCCAATGCTGACATGTGGCATAAAAAAATCAACAGTTTGATCTTAAAACTTCAGAAGACAATAACTTTGGCCTCGGGTGTCCAAATCAGGTGATTTGTTTTTTGATTCCATGTAAATTTTTGAGATCTACGCAATGACACATCATTTGGCATAATGTATCTCTCACAAACCCAAAAGATTCCGAGTTCTTTCCGAACCAACACCATGAGCTGCAGCATTGATGGAGAGAAAACCACTGTCATGATTAGAAACATTTCGAGTAAACATCCCTATAATTATGGTAGCATCTTTGTAAATTCAAACTATATTTATGAGAGACGAAACTTCAAGTTAAATAACATCATTTACACTCACAGATATAAAATATACCAAATGCATTTATCTCGAAAAGTTATGCAGAATCAAAATAAATAAAACTGATTCAGGCACCCGAGACCAAAGTTATAGCATTCTGAAGTTTTATGATAAAATATCCCAAATTTGGGAAAAAAATTCACCAAAATTTTCTTCAATGAGATGTCATTGCGTAGATCTCAAAAAGTTGTGTGAAATTAAAAAAAAATTCACCTAATTTAGATACTCGAATCAAAAATTATGATCTTTCGAAATTTTACGATCAAATTGTTGATTTTTTATGCCACGTGTCAGCACCGGAAATGAGGTTTGTCACGCCTAAAAGAGGCGTAAGTGGTCACGTCCAGTTTGAATGTGAATAATTGTAATAGATTTGTAAATAGTTTCAGAACATATATATATATATATATATATATATATATATATATATATATATATATATATTCGTAATTATTTACTTAAATTGCAATATATATTTATTTTTTTGCCCGGATGTTCAATAGAAGTTTGAGATGATAGTTTGTGTCCTGCTATGATGGCTGACAATGCCAGACACAAAAAGGCAAAAAAGCACATGCTAATGGCTGCAGTCGGAGATTATTTATTGTGGACCGCGACCATCATTTTTTAGGTGGTCCCTTAATGTAAATAGGAGGGTAAAATTGGAAAAGAGAGAAAATAACAGAGATAAAAAAAGAAAGAAAAAATTAATAATGTGAGAGGGAGCATCAAAAGATTCAGTAAATATATTAAATATTTAATATATTAAATACTTCCATGGACCATATTAAATATTTCCCTGCAGCTGAAGTGTCTGTAAATATATTATCTGCCCCTTCCTTCATTCTATCCGTTATTGGAATCGCCGAAGAAGATGATGATATCAAGAAGGGTTTTGGTTTTGTACTGTTGCAGTAATCATCTTTTTTTCCCGCGAAGCAAAACGACAATAAATAATAATAAAAAATTTGTAACAAACATTGTATTCAATAATTATCTTTTGTCTGTAGCTTTGCATGACAGTAAACTTTTTCCTGTAAAATGATTGTTATTTATCCCTATCAAGAAATATGCCACAACCTAAAACCAAAAAAATCTGTCATTCATGCTTATCTCAATCTGCTAACATTTCATAATCTAACAAAAGACAACTTTGAAGCCAATGATATGGCTCTAAATAGTGTCCTGGCCTAGCTACAATAAACAATTTGTTGTCATGCTTTGAATAATACACCATAAGTTAACCAAGATAAATTTGTGTCTCCACTCTTTCTTCCTTCCTCTCTTTTTTATTTAGCAATTCTGTGTGTGATTGTTCGGTCATCTCCCATATAAATACAATTCCTAGTGCATAATCCATCTCAGGCCAAACAAGACTAAATTTGATTCCTCACCCCCTCACCATTCAGAGATCCAGAGTTGGGTTCAGAAACAAAGGACTATAAAAGTCAACGTGATCAGAGAAGAAGGAAAGTCAAACCTGATCTCCAACAAAATCAATCAACGCTACTGTTCTTAACTGAAGCAAGTTTTTCCCCGTGGAAAGTTCATGAGCTTGACGAAACACTTGTCCTCCAGTGTACAAAATGGATAGAATTGCTATGGCCAGCAAATACCTATTTTCCAAAAGTTCCAATTCAAGTTTAATCTCAACACCCCAAAGAACAAAATCAAATTTTGACAAAAACCCATGAATCTTCAGCCAAATTCCTCCCAAACCCACATCACAATTATGATCAAATTCACAAAGGAGTTTCTGATTCATACCTGTATTCTTCATACTTGTCGAATTCTCTCCAATCACCATGATTGTTGCTAACAATGAGAATGAAGGAAATTAAAGAGAAAAACAAAGCAATTCCTCTCAACCATAACGATCCTCTCTTGAGCAAATCTTCCATCTTCCACCGCCGTACGATGCCGGCGTTTGCGCCGACAGTTCCCGGCTCGTGGTAGTCCAGAGTTGGCGCAGATGGCTCAGGTTTCACGTCTATCTTCATATCTGAACCGTTTGAAACCGTCATCTATATATGTCTGATTTTATATAACACGATTTTGGATTCACAGGTTTCAGATTTAGATAATAACGAATTGATGAATGTAAACAAAAATGGTGAAGAAGAAACCGAGGACTATTAACTATAGTCAAGACTCAAGACAAAGACAAAGAGACACGCAAAGTTTGTTGTGTGTGTCCTAAGTTTTCATTTGAAACCGGTTTTACGGTTGTTGTGTTGGCGATCGTTTTGAAACAGGGTTATGAGCCATTAGGAGAGCACGTGAACTACACAAAATGTTCATGACGTGGCGTTGATGGATTGGCGGAAGAATATGTTCAAAAAACATAAACATGAGAAAAAAAGTCAAGCATTTTTTATTGTTAAATTTCGAGAACATCGTAGTAATCAACTTATATTATTAAATAAATAAAAAATATTTGTTCTTTTATTATTATCATCCAAATTGTCCAAATCTTTCCAATATAATATGGGCAGGCTAATATGGACTGGGATAGATCATAAACAATTGAAGGTTGAAGACTTTGGGTTGGATAGAGTGCTTTGCGAGTCGATGATATTTGCTATGTCATTAATGGATGAGAGTTTTTTTGGCGCAATGGATCTGACTGGGAGTACTTGCAATGACACTTTGACGCTCAAATCAGTATCATTGCTAGGCTTATGTTATAATATTATTAGAATTAAATTGTCATACATGAGTATATACCCTTTGTTTATATAGCAAATGTTAGTATATGGATGTCCTAGAGACAATCTTTTGATTAGATTAAGACATATGTGTACCTTTTATATTGTCGCAAATAAATCATAAGCACTCTTTATCCTGTTTCATATTTTGTCTCGATATAATTGTTAATATATTATATGAGTAACTAGATAAACCCCTTGGAATAGAATATGTATCACTTGAGCATCTGTGATGAGATCATGATCATGAGGATTCAAGGATACCAGATGTTTATTCTTAATTTTATGTTCCTAGTCTAGAGACACTGAAAATGGGGATCAGTAATCTCGGGTAAGATAGCACTGCTTATCTACTTGTATACAGATACAAGGTAAAGACCTCATGAGCTACAGACATATAGAGATGTCTTAGCTAAAGTCGTGGGTGGATCTATTAGGGTATAGCTCGCATTGAACAGACTCGGAAAAGAGACTCTATGAGGAAATCTAACAGATAGTATCATTAGAGCAGTCTCTTGTTATTTGGGTGTGTCTTTCCTTAAACCAGAAGTTTTCGCCTAGACTGTGTTCTATAAGGTATGTTTTGATTGTATACCTCGTCTACCTGAAACATGGAGATACATAGGTATACCTTTGGGCATGTCCTAAAAGAACACAAGCCTAGGGTGATAAGCTGAAAGAATTCGTCAAATCTCTGTGAGAGATTAGGTTATCTGTAAACCGGAGAAATCGGGATGACATTTACGGGACTCGGGAATCTATGCATAGTAAAAGAGATCATGAGATGATCTGCCTTTAGAGTCAGTAAATTGAAGACTCCCCATTTCAAGTTAAAGCTTACCCAAAACTGCAAGGGTTGATAAGTTTTCTCACCCTAGGTTTAATGGGAAGGTAACCGAGACGAAAAGTGTAACGCCCCGTGTATACCCGGTTTGTTAACATATCATCGTATTAAGCTGCGCTTAATTAAAAATGTGGAATATCTTTTTCTTTTCAATTATGACGTCATTATACTTAGCCAAGTTAATTACTTAATCAATTTCATAAAATATCGTCTGTATGTAAATTGCAAAAAGACATCTAACTGAAATACCTCATAATATAGATAAAGTGAGTATCTATGTCACGGATCCACTACACGTAGTCCGAACAATAATCCTGATACATTAATACAACTCCAACAGAAACAAGACATAATCAAGTCTATGTGGCATGGACAATCTCCATGCTCACCAAATCAACAGCATAACCAACAGAGTCTCAAGAGAGAAATTCATAAACTGAAGCTAAAAGCATAAGACAGTAAATAGGATCCAACATCCAATCATAGCAGCATATCATCATAAGCAGCATAAACATGTAACATCTATCAACTAAGCTCTGGCTTCCTGCCACTAGAGGTCTCAACCCCCGCATTACCTGAACCTGAAATAAGCATTCCCCAAACGTGAGGTGAGATCTCTAACCAGAAATCTCAGTAAGACAAGGGGTCCTCAAGGATCTTCCACCCCAAGCTCACTTACATGTGAAATATAAGTTCCAAAAGCAGTAATTCAATATAAGTTCCAAAACTCAATGCAGTGCAACAGATATTCATGAGTGTTATAACTATTCTACTAGCCAGAGAAATGCAGGAATACGTCTATTACCTACAGATAGTACAAGGAACACCGCTTGCACCTCACCCACATCCTCACCATATTGTATGTACTACATACTTAGGCTTACCGTATAGATGGAACACCACATGCATATCGTAAAGGCACTAGCATATAACAGCTCAAAAGCATTTCCAAAACATCAAAAGCATGTAACACAACATGCATATAACCATACCCCATGGGACATGGTGGAATCACAACATGGCTAAACTGAGGACACGGAAGCTTACCTTGCAAGCTCACTATCCAATGCCAAGAGTCCACACAGCTCAAGTCCAACACACAGCAGATCACAATCTGATTAGGACTAGCAAACATATCAACATTCATAGCTCATAAGCATAAACATAAAGACTACGTTTTTCTCTTACGATTTATGTCTTAAGGCTTCACACAAAGTCATAAGCCCTTAACCACTTGATTCTGACTTAGTTTGATAAATACAGAAGTCCAACTTCATCAATCTAGGGTCCACAAACCCCCAATAGCCTACTGTATGAACAGTGTAGCTACTGTTCTTCGAAATCCCAGAATATCCGAATATTCGTCGGGGGCATATCCGGATATCTCTCTTCCAATATCCGGATATCAGATCCCCATATTCGGATATCAATATCTGGATACCCATTCAATATCCAGATATTCACAACAAAATATCCGGATATTTCGCGACAGAACCGAGATTCTGCATTTCGCGAAAATCCAAACCAAAGGTCCAACTTTTACCGATTACAGAAGCTTAAACATGCATTTCTAAGTATGTTAAGCATTACCCAACGTTAGGTTATCATCTTAAGCTCATTACATGCATCAAGGTTCCATTTTTAACCAAAAACTCATGATCAAAGGTTGAGTATGCATACCAAGCTTCTCAAAACAGAAAATGGCAGGGAAAAGGAGCTCCCTACACCACTCCACTGTGCAGCAACCAAGGGCCACGAAAATGCACAACAAGAAGACTCTTTTCTTCACAAAGGTGACACTTTGAAGCTCAAAATACCAACCCCAAGCTCCCGCAAGCCAACTCTCAAAGTCAGCACCTCCTCACCCTCAACCAGGGGCTACAACTCAGCAAGGGAGTCACTCACAACCTCACAAGACCAACCCACCCAAGGTAATGATGTTTAGAGATGAAGAGATGGAGCAAAGGTGACAACTTGGCTCAAGAAATGGGGGAGAAGACCAATGGAACAGTATTCTGGTCAGCCACCCTCTACAAGTCACGTAGGAAATATGAGTGTCTAGGGTTTTATGCCTTAATAAGCCTATATATAGTCACTTAAGCATTAAACACACAGTATTAACTTTAATTGATATGCTTAGCATTTTAATCTCAAACTCATGATTCTTAACCTACTCAATTTTACAAGAATTATTAAATTTTATTTTATTTTTTGGAGCACCTTTCCGGTACGCGCTTTTCATAGCCAGTACCAGTTTCTGGCACCAGTTTTAATTATTTTAACTTGAAACTCATTTTACAAGTCCTATATATTATTCTAGGAATTATCATGCACTTATTATAATTTTCCGGGATACTTTTTCGGTACGCATTTATACCGACTAGCAGAACCGGTATCTGCACTTTTCTTCCGAAAAGCGACTTTCAGCATTCTTAATCACTTTCTATAATTATTTAAGCCTCAAAATAATTATTAGGGTCAATTATAAAATTATTTCCTAATTTCACATATTTAATTAATTAATTTCCTTAATTAACGGTGCGGTTCTTACAAAAAGAAATACATACAGTAACCAAATATATTTAATAGAATGATCATGTCATTAACCTAACTAGCTCTAAGGCAACAAAGCATTGCTAGTACTCTGTGTTGTCATTAAATGGGTTGTGGTCTTGTTGAGCCCAAGCCCATTTATGTCAGCGGCTATGTTGGACCTAATGGGTCACACACTAACACCTTATTGTCTTGATATTATAGCATTAAAGGTTTTGGACCTAATAATGGTTGTTAGCCCAAGAAGAAGTTTGGAAACCTACTTAAGAAGTGATAATGGGCTTGGATAGTCCAAGACATTATTAATTAATTTAAATAGTTAAATTAATTATCTAATATTTAATTTCATAATGTAAATTTTGAATTTAAATATATCAATTTGAATTGACTATAGTAGTTTGTTTCATAACAAAAGGAGAAGATAAGAGCTAGATTTGAATTTGAATTCAATTAGCATCTTATCATAATCATGTCCTTGATTTTAGGAGAGCATTTTATGGCTGAATGGGGCGCTCAAATAGGCTAGCCATATGATGGTTGTTAGACCAATAAATTGACTTGGTTGACAGCCTTATTTTTCTCCATGATTTATGCGCACCATGATCTGATTTTGGAATGACTTTATGACTCAAAATCAGCATGATTTGTGCGCTCCATAATCTGATTTTAGAGTGATTTTATGACTCAAAATCAGCAGCATATAATCCTCCTTTAGTCTCCTTTTAAAGTGGAGTTCTCCTAAGGGTTTTTCAATGAAAAAAACCTGCCACTTCTCCTCCAACTCATGCGCGCTTTTTGTGTATTTTCTTGCTGAAAATTCACTCATCTAAACACCTTGAAACCTTGCCTCCTTCCTCTCCTATTGGGACGCCTAGCTTGCTTCCTTTTGGGTTTCGATTGGTGGTTTTCGAGAATGGTTCTTGCATCTTGACAAAGGGTGGTGTGGATCAACATTAGAGGGTTTGAACCTTCAAGCCTAACATGGATCATCTTCGAGTTTTGAATTACAAAAAAGGTAACATTTTGTCCTAAAGCATGTATCTTGAATTGGTATGTGTAATTCTGCTTGAGAAAAATCACATGCCTACGGCCTTCAAGGCTCTTTCTTTCAGCAAGTTTTATGCCGCCTTCGGTTGTAGGTGGGATGCCTTCTGATTGGCTGTTCATAGACTGCAGACTTATCTATTCTCAGCTGGTGCCTTTCTGGCTATACACCTATAAGTTGGACTACTTTCTTAGAGTGGTGGCAAGCTGGAATTGTCTTTCGTGTATTGGCTTGTAGCACGGTGGATCTTTGTTTGATAGAATCCTTCCTTAGCTTTTAAGTCATAAAAGGCGGTTACGCGCAATGAGACCATTGCGCCTTCAGGTCCTTATGTGCGATGGCGACATTGCAAACAATTGAAGGTTGAAGACTTTGGGTTGGATGGAGTGCTTTGCGAGTTGATGATATTTGCTATGTAATTAATGGATGAGAGTTTTCTTGGCGCAATTGATCTGACTAGGGGTACTTGCAATGACACTCTGACGCTCAAATCAGTATCATTGCTAGGCTTATGTTATAATATTATTAGAATTAGATTGTCATACCTGAGTATGTACCCTTTGTTTATATAGCAAGTTTTATGCCGCCTTTGGTAGGCGGGATGCCTTCTGATTGGCTGTTCATGGACTGCAGACTTATCTGTTCTCAGCTGGTGCCTTCCTGGTTATACACCTATATATTGGACTGCTTTCTTAGAGTGGTGGCAAGCTGGAATTGTCTTTCGTGTATTGGCTTATAGCACGGTGGATCTTTGTTTGATAGGATCCTTCCTTAGGTTTTAGTCATAAAAGGCGGTTACGCGCAATGAGACCATTGCGCCTTCAGGTCCTTATGTGCGATGGCGACATTGCATATTTCATGAGGCTTGTATGTACTTTGGGCCTATTCTAGGTTTTAACCCTTTGTGAGCCTATTGTAGTTTATCCATATCAACTTTAATAAGAAATTTACTTTAATAACGAATTTATTAAAGTAAATTTCTGTTTATCAAAAAAAAAAAGTAAATTCTTAAAAATTATATATATAATACTCAAAAATTACATTATTATAAAAAACAAAAATCAAAAATCCAGTTCTAATGTTTGCTTCTTTCAATCACTCTAGAATTATGCATCCATGGACCATCAGTAAGGATAAAGTATCAACACCATCAACATAATTTCAAGCCGAAAAAACTAGTTGTATTCTTGTATGAAGTAAGTAGTCTCATATCTCATCTGGTTGTGACATATGCACAGACATAAATGTACTTCGTAGAGCAATAAATGGAAGTATGGAACATAATAGTTGAAACATTTGTGGAAGTTCAGATATCAGTTTGAGCTGATAGTTTGTGTCCTGATATGATGGCTGATATTGCTAGACACAAAAAGGCAAAGAAGGACATGCTAATGGCTGCAGCTGAAGTGTCTGTAAATATATTGTCTGCCACTACCCTTATTCTATTCGTCATTGGAATCGCTGAAGAAGTTGATGATATCAAGAGATATGCCACAACCTGAAACCAAAAAATTTGTCTATCAAACTCAGCTCAATTTGCTTACATTTCATAATCAATCAAAAGACAACTTAGAAGCCAATGATATGGCTCTAAACTGTCCTGGCCTAGCTAGAATAAACCATCTCTAGGACCCACTAACTTTTGTAACACTAAAATAAAGCTACTAAGCATTTATGATCCCTTCATGATTATATTATAGAAGCATTTAGAACTACTAAGTTGAAAGTCTTATTCCCTTAGAATAACACTTTACTTATGATTGATTACTTGAGAAGTAAGTTTGCAATTTTATTCCTTCCAACGTACGGAGTAACTTCAAAGAGAGGCCTCAAGTTTACAATCCAGCTTTAAAAAAATTACTTGCAACTTTGCACGTGTAACTCAACCACATAGGTTACACTTCAATCTTTCACGGCCATTAGGTACAAAAAATTAATGCAATATTACAACACAGGTTATCAACAACAGAAAAACTGATCAATGAGGAAAATGCAGTTTGGTTTCATAATTCAATCCAATTTCAAGACTGAATTTGATTCATGACCCCCTCACAATGCAGAGAACCAGAGTTGAGATTACAAACAGAACACCATAGAAATCAATGTCGAACCTGATCTCCAACAAAATCAATGAATGCTAAAGTTCTTGACTGAAGCAGGGTTTGTCCAGTTGAAAGCTCAAGAGCTTGACGAAACACTTGACCTCCAGTGTACAAACTGGATATAATTGCTATTGCCAGCAAATACCTGTGATCCAAAAATTCCAAAATTCAATCTCAACACCCCAATGAACAAAATCAAATTTTGACAAAAGCCCATTAATTTTCAGCCAAAACCCACATTATATTTACTATCAAATTGGCAAAGTGGTTTCTGAATCCTACCTGTATTCTTCATACTTAACGAAGTTTCTCCAATCACCATGATTGTTGCTGGCTACGAGAATGAACGAAATCAAAGAGAAAAGCAAAGCAATTCCTCTCAACCATAGCGAGCCTCTCTTGAGCAAATCTTCCCTCTTCCACCGCCGTAGGACCCCGCTGCCGGCGCCGGCGCCGGTGCCGACAGTTCTTGGCTCGGGGGTGACCACAGTTGATGGAGATGGCTCTTGCTGCACCTCCTTCTTCAGAACTGAAGCTTTAGAATCCGACATCTCTGTCTGGTTTTCTATTACACTCTTTTGCAATCACTGGTTTCAGATTTAGATAACAAGTAACGAATTGAAATATGAAAAACAAAATGATGACGAAGAAGGAGAAGAAGCCTATATAGTGAAGACAAAGACCAAGAGACACGCAAAGTTAGTTGTGTGTCCTTAGTTTTCATGAAACTTGTTTTTATAGTTGTAGTTTTGTGAATCGTTCGTTATGCAACTTAACAGGGTCATGAGCCAATAAGAGAGCGCGTGAACTTCACAGAATGTTGAATTAGGTGGCGTTAATGGATTGGCGGGAAGAAAGAACATGTTAAATAGGAATAAATCTTTGGAACCCACTCAGGGACGCATTACACATCATAGGAGAAAAAAAAATTTGACAGAGAAAAAAAAAATTTTAGCTGACATGTAATATTTTTATTGGTGGGATGTACTGAATCTTTGGTGCAACAGTAGCCCCAAAGATTTATTCATTAAATAGGCATAAGAAACAATAATCAATTTTTTTAACAGTATTATATTTATAAATTTTTTGTTTAAAAAATATTGTATATTCTCATATTCCAGAGAATACAAACACTTAAGTGTATATATTCTAAAATATATAGTGTAATTTGTAAATAAAATATATCTGTACACTATTTTATTTGGATAAGATCAACCTCAATTTAGATATAAAATATGACGATTTTCGTGACTAATCAGATTATTTCATTTAGGAATCTAACTAGAAAGTAGAAACCTTTCAGTATCATTAAGATGCATATATTTAGTATATATGTTAATATGATATTTTTATTAAAAAATTAAACAATATCATTATAATTATTTATTTTTATTTTTCTATCTTCTTCCTTTTCTTTGTATCTCCTCAGGCTTGAAATAGCTATCATGACGCTTCGGTGTTTGCACTTGTCTGTGAAGTAAGGTTTCCCTTTGTACACTTAAAGAGTTAAAACCAAAAGCATAAAACAACCTAAGTTTTTTTTTTTTTTTAATACCTTTCCTCTTTCAGCTCGGTAACGTTTGGATATTGCAGACATCTCAATTATTTTATTTTCCTATTCCTAGGCTATTCACTTTGCTAATAAAAAATTCATAAATATATTCACTTTTACGCAACTGTAACTCTGTAAGTAATTGATATAAATAGATAAGCAACACATATAAAGAAGAAAGAAATGATTTCTTCGAGCACCAACAAAACAAGCAAAAGTTTTGGGGTAAAAAAAGTTTAATTACTCTTCTTTCTTTTAAGATACTAATGATGTGTTTGATCCCAAAGAATCAAAGCTTCTTGTTGGATTTGTGGTTTAGCAGTGCCTATGGAAGAGGCAATTGCCAACGGTAGTAGATCACTATATACTAGGAAATAGAAAGCAAAAAAGGGTGTGATGTGGGCACAATAATAGTGAATAAGGATTAGAGTTTAAAAGTTCATATATACCTGTGAAGTTTAACCTTGTACATAAATGGGTTTTTGCCTGTAAATGGACTTGGTTAATTTTGTATGATTAGAAGGAGCCTATTATATTGTTATAATTAAATAGAACACTTAATTAACTATTATTAATTATTAAATATATTAATATTTAATAATATTAAGTAATTGATATCACTTTATAAAACTTTATAAACAACACATACAATGTATCAACACCGTACATGTATTTTCAAGTACAAAAAAACTAGTTGTATTCTTAATCAGAATAATATATTATCTCATTGTAACATGTGTACAGACTACTTAGAAGCCAATGATATGGCTCTAAATATTGTCCAGGTGCAAGATTAAATAATTTGTTTTGAAAGTTCGAGTTATTTAAAAAGATCCCTTGCTGCAACTAATAGACCATCTGTAGGACCTACTACATTTTTTGAGACATTTAGAACTAAGTTGAAAGTTCTATATGCTCATAATAACACTTTTACTTATCATTCATTACGTGAAGAAATAGGTTTGCATTTTTATCATTTTGCGAAGAGTTAACATCAAAGAAAACATCCTTTATCATTTTCCCAAGGGTTAACTTGTCTCAAGTTTGAAATTCAATATTTTTAACATTCCTTGTAACTGGACCGCGCCAGGTTAACTTCAATCTTGCACAACTAGTAGGGACATTAATTAATGCAATATTACAACGCAGCTTATCAACGACAGAAAAACAAATTGATCTATTTATTTATTTATTTTTAATAAAAAGGTAGTCTTGAAGAAAAATGCAAATCCTAATCTCAAATAAAATCAATAAAATGATGGCTGGAAGTGTACAAACTGTGTAGCATTGTTATTGCTAGTAAACTAGCAATTGATATGAGAAATTATGGATGTGTGTCCTTAGGTTGAGTCTAAGTTCGAGTGTGTAACAGGTGATGAGCTGATTATTACTTTGCTTATCGACTTAACGATCTTGATATGGAGTATTATGCCCTTCGTAGAAGATAAAATTTAGTGTTTAAGGGGAATGAGTTTCGCAAGGAAGAAAAAGAATAAATGGGCTCTAAAATGAGTGTTTCACACGTCAAAGGTTCAACCCTTTACATGTGTGTAGCTGTGTAAAGCTGTGTTTCATTTGTCACAAGAAGTGCTTGATTTATAAATTTTATTGGCTTTTTATGGTGCAATGGTATAAGGAGTAACCAAAATAGAGTAGTTGAAAACAACTCCTTTTAAAGCAAATTAATCAACCTAAATTTTTTTGTTTATAACAAAAAAAATATATAATACACATAATAGAAAAATAGTAAAAAAAAAAAAAATTGGAGAGAAAATGAAAACATAAACAAAAATATAATTGAATTACATAAATAATAAATTAGAAGCGAAAATGAAAAAAAAAATGGTAAATCTTTGTATCGAATCTATACTAAATTTTTAGTAGTGAGTGGTATAGAAAAATTAGATGGTTACACTAACCATAAAGTTCAAAAGCCTTTTATGAGTGGAATCAAGCATATTTTAGAAACCATAATATAATATCAGCAAGTATTTTTTTGATGATAAAAATTATACTAATTTAATACCATTGCTGTGAAAATAATTGAATTAGCATTTTGTGCTTCTTCTCCTCTTTTATAAGTTCTTTGGCAACTGATCACGTTGATTACTTGTGAATTGGCATCGCGAGGGCTTCTCCATAAGAAGGAGATTAGTGGTGAAAAATAGACTTCATTTTGAACAAGCATGCATGAAGGACTACATTCTATTGGAGTTTCTAGTTAGCGATTCTATTTTCTCACGTTGAAGGACTACATTCTATTAGAGACATGATGTGGTGGGGTCCACCACTTATTAAAAAAATGATGGCATAACTTTTGATGTGAGAATAACATGAGATAGTTATCTCATGTAAAATAAGACAATGATTTTCCTTCTAGATAATATTAGGAGAAACACAGTTTCCACTCAAACAAAAAAAACAAAAAACGCTACTTATGGATAACTCTAGTTCCAAGTACCAAAATAGGTTGAGCCTAACGGGTCAATATGAATAACCCGACAAAATGCATGGGTTATACCAACAAAATTGGCCGACTTGGCCTAGCTTGATTTGTTTGCAAGTTCAAAATTATCATCATTAATTATTATAAATTATTAATTTTTTCTTTTTTAAGTTTACCTAAATGTTAATTTAAAACAAGCATTCATATATTTTAAGTAATAATTCATTCTGAATCTTTTAATTCAAGTTTTTTAATATGAGTTCATTAAATAAATTATTTAAAATTAACAACTTCAAATTGTAACTTTATAAATAAGTGGAGAAAATGTTGGCCAACGGGCCAATTCAAATAATCGACGACGTAGATTGAGTTGGGACAATAATTTATAGGCCCAAATTATAATTGGCTCGTTATTGAGCAAACTTGAATTTTACCCGACCTACAGGCCCGTACCTCTAGCTACATATTTAGATAGTAGAGGCACAAAAAAAGGAAAAAACAAAAACTCCTGACTAGCAAGGTATCAAATAGTAGATGTTTAAAGCACTAGGATTGATGTAGTGGTGAGGGGTTTGAGTAGTTTATATAAGGTTATAGTTCAAACCTCATTACCATTATTGTATCCTAAAAAAAAAAAATAGAAAAATTTATGTGAATGTTTATCAAGAGATAATAAAATTATTCATGTTCTTTCATACAACAACTTAAACTTTAGAGAGAATTAACTACATAATATGATATCAGAGTTTATGACCAAATGGTCTAAAAGTTTGATCCTTACTACTTTCACTTTCTAAAATTTTCGTGTAAGGGGAATGTCAAAAAATATAATAAAACTATTCATGTACCTAAACACATACTTACAATAAACGCTGAAATTCATGAAGAGGTGTAGCTTCCATCTACTTAGGGACTAGTGGTAAAATTATACAAATTCAGGAAGGAAAAAAAAAATCTCCTCCAAGTAGTTTTATCTCTGCAAATAATAAAATGCATAAAGAATCTTGTTTATTAGATATAAGCTATAGACGTAAGCTATGGGAATTACTTTTCTTATATTACATAAAAAAATTATTATCTCATACACTCACATTTTTTAAATAGATTTTATAAGAATTTTTTTTCTCATCTTCAATTTTTTTCTCTCACCTCCAATTTTTTCCTCTTTCCTATTTATTGTTTGAATAAGAGATAATACTTCTTTTATGCAACATGAGAAAAATATTATCCATAAGCTATATAGTGCTCATGTCTATCTTCTGAGAGGCATATAGCATAGTGTATCAAAGTCCTAGGGAAGATTTGCTAGAATTCTTTTTGCGTCAATAGGTTTTTAACTTCCGTCTCGTAAAGAGATTGCACAGTTTCTTCAGGAGGTATATATATTTACAAACATATATATTCGGCTTATATCGTCGTCAATTAATAAATTAAGAGGAGTCTATTGAAAAATATTTTGCAAAATATTATTGTAAAAGACAGTGGGTGAAAAATTATCTATAGATTGGAATATGTGTATGATACAAAATATATTAATTAAACCTATAATCACA